AGATTTGAGACGATGTGGCCACATTGTATGAAGAAACATAAGAGAGAAGATATATGATTTGGTGCGTGACCTACTTGAATAAAGATAAATAGATAAAATAAAATAAAGTGAGGAGTTTTTAAATATTTGGCTTGAACAGCCCTAAAAGATATATAAATCAAGGTTAAAGAAATGGTTTTAAGGGCTTAGTCGTAACTTCCTCCCTCCCGATAGCAATTTAGCAAGTTCAATAAGGGCATCTTTATTGGAACCTTCTCCATCAACTGGCTCAAACCTTCCAGATTCCAAATCTATCCTTGATAATGGTTTCTTCAACAATTTCTCTCCCACCTCTGCAAGCTTCTGTAAATTGTCTTTGATCGCAATATCCTAAGACGATATGTTTTCCAGTTAATGTATCATCCTGTACAACCACAATCATGTATTATATTAGATTATGTTTGTTTCGTTGTAGTGTTAGTAACAATTTTTTTTAACATTTTTGAAAAAAATTCTACCCAAAGATTAGAAAGATTAAGTTCAATTACAAGTTTAGTACTTAAATTTTCAGAGATGTATCTAATACGCATGTCTCTAAATTTTAAAAAGTGTGTTAATTTTTTATGTATCTAATAAGTCTCATTTTGTAATTTATGAAAGGTTAGGTTCTATTTTGAATTATAGGTGATGATCAAATTTTTTAAAAAATCAAATATGAAAGACCTATTTGACACAAAATTAAAGGTTTTGCAACTTCACATAAATTAAAAAATAAAACTAAAAGTGAGTCTAAAAAAATCTTGAAATTTTAGTAAGAATCATAAGTGATCTTCATAGAGAAATCGTAATTGAGAAACAAACTTAATTATATAAACCAAAAAATATTATTAAAATATAAATATATACCTGAATATGAAGATAGTTTTTTTACAATGCGAAGACTGGAAGATGGTAGAAATATGATAGTCGACCATATCAGCACTGGTATCGTTAAAAATATCAACTATTGGTGTTGCTCCAACGTGTAGATCCAATTAAGCATACCCCATTTGGTAGATTTAGCAGCACTATATTGCCATCATTCTTGGCTGTACCAGTGCCTAAAGAARGGACCAACATCTTTTTTGTTTCCATGGGTTTCATCCTCAAAGATTCACTTTTTTTTTTATTTTGTCTCATGGTATTGATCTCTTTAGTCACATGGGTTATGGCAGCTAAAGCCTGCACATCAATTTCAACCAAAATATTATTAATAAAATGCTCGGGGACCAAACGTGTGTTACATTTATAAATTACGGGATCGACTCATCTCATGATAAAATTTGGGGTAAAAATACTACTTTAGGTCTTTTTAATTTATACTAGATTTTGTAGTTTAAAATTTGTAATGATTTGGTTCCTGAACTCTGACTAAGTTCTTACCAACTTTAAACCATCGTGACCAAATTGTTATATACTAAAGTCTAAGAAATTTATCTGATTTCATCTTTATTTTAATTTTTTTATTACTTTCAGGTTGTTAAATACTTATACTTAATTTTATAATAAGAAAATTACATAAATATCAAAATAAATAAATATTGCAGTATTTTAAAATTTTACCCACAATTTTATTTGACAACCCAAATGTTATAATAAACTTCATAATAATTTTATAATAGATTCTTTTACTTAATAGTATATTATATAATATTATTCAGGTTATTATATAATATATTTTTCTTGTGAAATTATGGAGCAAAATGAGGCATCAMGAATTACGAACAACCAGGAAATACGATATTTAAAAAAAAATATAAAGTTAAAACCTAAATTTGGAATTTTGAAAATTAAAAACACAATTTTAGAAATTCAACATAAATTTCCACCAAAATCCACTAAATCTTTCACTATTAATTTATCCATGAATTGCCACTATTAGGCAATTTGTACAACCATGAAGTGTTACATTTGGATAGTAATAATAGGTAAAAAAAGACACCTGAGTTATTGATAACTAAGCACATGGATAAGGGTCAACTTGACACTTGGAGACACTAAGCAAATGAAAGAAATTGATACATGGGGTTAAGGTTATTTAGACATCCCATATTTTGACACCTAAGGTTGGGCATCTAATTTTGGATAATGTTCGTAATAATTTTATCTTTTCAACAAAATTATTGTTTTATCAGAAAATTATATTTTAAATTAAAAATTGCATACCTGGTGAATGAGAGGAGTGTTTCTTTTATAGGCGGGCGGGGGGAGACAGAACCATTAGATTGTTACGACATACGGTTACGGTTGTCGAGCCCCTTAGGTCGGTGGTCGATGAAGGCATTTCGCTCATCTCGCTCGGTGTGGAGCAATCTGTTGAGTTCCGATGGTTTATTTACTATGATTGGACTTACTCGAATTAAGGATATGCTTACACGTGTCGATTTGATTTCTGACCACCAACAATATATATTATATTATAAATAGATATAGACCAAATTGTTATGTATTAAAGTTCAACCGAAATCGTTACTTCACGAAAGTATCAAACCAAACAAATTTATAATGCTAAAGAGGAGATGAGCTTATGGATTGTTGGCTGCAACTCCACCATCAACCATATTAAAATTACGAGTATTTTCATTGAAGTCCTTAGTTCCAAACTCGTGGCTTGGTAAGAAAGTTGGTGCAGTAAAACTAATGCAAACATCTGCCAACCTGGGATTCTTCAACTCGTTCTATCTTGTCCAAACTATTACCTTTATTAGTTCAATTAAGAAAATTATTTACCTAGTAATTTTTCATACCTCGATTGATGTGAAAAATATGAATAACGATGTGGGTTAGCGTTTACCTAAGAGTTAGGTCTCCAAGAGATCATTTTCCAACAACCTCGACTATTTATCATCGTATTTTCGCGTATAATATTATTATAATATTGAGAGCCACCCACAAGGAATTTATTTATTTTCGTGGGCCATTTTATTTTATTTACTTTTTAACTTTCCCCCCTACCCACTAGAGTATTTGCATCATTTTCCCATCCACCAAATAATGCTCTTCAACTATTATTTTCTTTTATCATTTTCTTTATATTTTCAAATGGAAGACACTCCCATTTCCATATGTAAACACACATTCATGGACCAGGAAGGCAAAAATCTTT